CAGAAAAAAATTATCCCTAAAAAAAGAATCTTTACAAGGGCTCAAACCAAGGACAGATATTTTGGGGTTTGGCCTAAATTTCTGGAATGTTCTCTTGGAAACAAATTTCGTCTCGGCCCAGTTCCCTGACTGCAGAATCTACCCTCACCGGGATACTAACTCAGGACAGTTTTCCAAAGTTTTGGTCTTTCTATATTCTCTTCCTGTTACCAAAAAATGAGTGTGCCAAGTTTGGCAAAAATCGATAAATCAGCTCTCAAGTTGTAAGTGAAAGTTCGTTCGCACGTACATGCATACGCGAGCACACAATTTAAATTTTACATAAAAATTACTAAATTAAGACTCCCCAAATACAGCCCATAAAATTTGAAATATTTCTTAAGCTAATGCAGAAACATTAATAAAACCAAACTTTGGATTGGCATTAATATTGCAATGAAATAGCATAAATTCTAAGATGGTTGTCTTCTGGGTTGTTGCACCGTGTAGTGTGGTAGACGTTTTTCGACGTTTCAGAGCTCTCAGCCCTGATGATGGAGACAGCAAGGACATGTTAAACGTTGGAGGAATTCTACCGAACTACACGGCGTAAAAAGCCAGAAGACAGCCATCTTCCTACGGACAAGCGTAAAATATAAAATTTTTGATAAAAGATCGAAAAGGAAAGGGTAAGTTGCAGTAACGTCAAAGTAAGAAATTGGTCCACGAAAATCTGTTCGTCACAATTTTCCTCGCCATCTCCGACTATGACGTAAAAAGTCAAAATTAATTTTCCACTCGTTGACGTTCCATCTAATAAATTTCAAATGAATATTATAAATCAGTTGTGACGACAGAGTTCAGGGCCAGCTGTAATCATGCGAAAACCTTCTTCTGAAGCAAATGTCATTATTTTACGTATTTATCGTCAAAAATTAAATAACTTCTTTGTTGTTGTTCAAATAACTTCAATTGCTTTCGAAAAGATTTACGATCGGTTAATCCGAGTTAAATCCGTCTTGCACGATCACGAATCCTTTGTAATTTTTTTTATGTTTTAAAGTGATACTTCGTGAAGGATAATTTGTATTTTCACTATTCGCCACAAACAACGATATATTTTTTAAAGAGTAAATACGCTCACGTTGACATTTTTGAGGCCACCAATAATTACCGCCTTCGGGTTGAATAAAGGGGGTGGTGTATTTTCAAGATTGACTACTCCATGAAAGTCACCGGTGAAGCGAAGAGTGATATAAGAGCACTTATCGGCAAGAAAAATTAGCTCTCATGTTCGGTTCTGAACGATATTCAGAACTTACTATGAATAAATGTCACTTGGACTACGAAATTTCAAATCTCTTCACGGGGTCATTCAAGACAGATTAGGGCAAAATGAAAAAGTTAATAAACCATATCAATTTTTAATGCAAATAGAGATGGATTAATGCATAAATGAAGATTAAATTCCCTAAGGAAAGAAGTTCTGTGTTGTTATTTTGTTTTGATGTGACTGTCCTTGAAATTTAAGTCTCAGAATACGCATTCGGACTCCGAGGAAAACAAGGGCATATTACATTAATGAAACATGATATATTATTCAGATAAGTGGATTACTTTTATTGATTAGAATTATCTCGCTAAGTGTTTTAGTTCAATTCCAATAATTATCACCGCGTTGTGACACACAACAGAGATAACACGTATTGGTCGTGTTTTGAATATATTAAAAACTTCAGACCCCTAAGAATATGAGGTGTCATATTAGAGTAATAATCGTTCGATTAAACTCGCCTTCGGTTGGTATCGACTTTGACGGGGCGCGTAGCAACGCCACAAAACACGACGACCCGTCAGACGAAGCCTGGGTCTTCACGTACGACGATGACCGCTGTGGTAGCTGACACTTTTACCGTCTTGAAACCAATTCTTCTGTTCATCAAATGCTTCGGCCTAGCGCCGTACACCGTCGTTGGGAAGATGGGCTCTCGACATCTGAAGACCTCCATCTTAGACGTTCTGTTCAGCGTAATCTTAATTGGAGTATCCATTTTCCTCGTCTTTTATCAAACGAGTTTATGGCGTGTAATCGAAGGGGTGTCGATCTGCAGTGTGACCGAGAAGGTCATAGTCTTTAGCACAATAATTCAATTCGTGCTTTCAGCCTTCGTCTGTCTGTTGAAAAGACATAGAATAGTCGAAATCGCGAACCAGCTGGCTGGCCTCAACGCTGTCATCAAGCGTTCGTGTGGATGTGTCTGGCGTCGGATGTGCGTCACTCTCATGTCGCATCTCCTCATAAGCGTCCTCAGCGTCGCCACATGTTTTGTGTCAGACATGTTTTCTCGCTTCCACAGCGCAATTTCGGTGTCTCTCGTCACGTTCAACGTCCTCACCTTCGCCTGTTTTCTGACCGAATTTCAAATCGTTGGTTTCTTCATGCTTTTAAAGCAACTTATTTCTGATCTGAACAGCTCCATTCGTGGAATTGGAGAAATCAAAGGAAATCAGGACGAGGAATGTCCCTGTTTCAAGAAGTTGCCACTGAATAGGACGGCGCCGATATTCGTAACCTCTTCATACGAAAAGTTCCGGAGCAAAGCCGCGCCCGAAGATTTTCCGGACAAGAAAGTGATTTTGCTTCGAGACGTCCAGGATTCGCTGTGTGCAGCCTCGGAGTTGCTGAACTCGGCTTATTCGTTCTTGCTACTGTACACGTCGGCGAAAACCTTCATCTGTCTTACCCACAGTCTTTACTTCATCCTCCTCAGCGTCTTCATGAGTGACTCCAGCTCCTGTGGTAAGGGATGGCCGTATTCGTACTACGTGTGGTTCATTCACTACGCCCTGAAGCTCGTCTGGCTCGTGTTTTACAGCAGTTCGGCGATCCAGCAGGTAAGGACTCGGGTACGAATTATTACGTCGGATCAGGCCGACGTTTCGGTGTTCAAAAGTCAAGGGTTAGCCAAGTGTATTTCGTGATCAATGTGAATTTCTGATGGTCATGAATTTTCCTCAAAGTAAATTTTCTGCCTAAGCGACCCCTTTTAAATACCATTTAGCTGCATAGATTAATCTACTATTATCAACTGGTTT